GTGGTTGCCAGGCGTAAATGTCGACGGAGCGTGTAATGTGTGATTCTGGTAGTCAGTGGGTTAAACATATTTTAGTTAATGTTTAAGGTGTAAACAATTCACTAACATTATGTCTGTAAAAGTCTGGTTTATCAATGGTGACATTGCCTGGTCACTATAACTTGTCACTATAACAAGTCACTATAATAGTGGCTGAGCAGAGAATACCTTAGATTTATCAGGAAATGTAGATAGAGCTGGCCAACAGAATGAACACTTAATGGCATGCTTGTCTATTCTTCTTGACGTGTGGCATTGGTACTCATGTCTAGCCACAACCTTCATACCATTCTGTCATGCTGCCCACCATCTTCTCTCTGTCTCCCCCTGCCTCTTTGCCACCACCACAATGTACTCCACTTATCTCCTTCTCATAACGTGACCTGTAGATTGTTTCCTCTTCTGTGGATGACCAGTTCCTTCATTACTGTTTTTTATCTGCCCAAAGTGTTCTCATCATTGTCAGTAAAACTGCATCTCCGCTGCCTCCACATAATTTTGTACAATTGTCAAACGTTCCTTTATTTACTTGCGTGTATCAGGATATGATTTATCTAGATCTAGAGAATTTTGCCTTCCTAAAATAAATGCATGTCTATAAATACACAATAGTGCTTGCTGCGCAGGGTCAACTCGGTCCCTGGTGTGAAATGTTTTGTGTTAATGTAGTTTATGGCCGCTGGTGGTGTAGTTTTGTGTGAATGTAGTTTGTGACAATTGGTGGTGCATAACCTGGCTTTTTCACATGTGCCGCTTGTTGTAGCAGTGTGTGTAGTAAACACCAGGAATATCAAAGTCTGGTTTACAGTTGCCCATTTGGACTCTTTGTACAAATTGGGCTCCAGTGACCAGCAACAGTGCTTTTTTAGCATGTATTTTCATTGGCGTAGAATTGTAAGCCTATAATTAGTTACATCACACCGCCCTGGCTTGTTTAATATACAGTGTCATAGGTTAACACTTTTTAGTTTAGAATATACTTCAAATTGTCGTAAAATCAGATTTGCTTATGCTTTTTAAGAAATTATTTACTATTAAATCTAAAAAATAACGTAGCTGGAAGGTGATGGGGCACTATGGAATCACACAGAAAATTATTAACTTAGTAAAGGCAACAAATAAAGACATGAAATGTCGTTCTTAATGAGAAAAAGCTAACAGATACATTTGAAATAAAAACAGGTGTGCGACAGCTGTGTCTTTTTTTGCCTCTCCTATTTTTACTGGCTAAAGACTGGATTATAAATATAAAGACAATAACTGCTAACACCAAGAATGAAATTCAGCGGACCCCTACAAAACAGCTTGATAATCTGGACTTCCCTGATGATATTTCTCTTCTGTCCCATTCACAGAATCAGATGCATGAAAAATTAAATATACTTGATGCGAGATCACAGCAACTAGGTCTGAAAATCCATAAAGGAAAAACTGAGAAAATGAGAATAAATCAGGCAAATAGTAATGTTTTTTTTTTAATGGCACCCCACTCCAAGACGTGGAGTCATAATGTAGATGAAGATGTAGGAACTGATAGAGATATTAAAATAAGAATACAAAAGGTAAGAGGAGCTTTCATAGCATTAGGGAATTTGTGGAGGTCAAAAGAAATTAAAAGAAATACTTACCTTAAAATTGTTTAATTCTAATGTCAAGTCAGTACTTTTGATGGGCCGGAAACATAGAGCAACTAAGGCAATTTCTAATAAACTACTGACTTTGATTAACTGGTGCTTGTGCAGAATAGCGGGAATTAAATGGTATGATAGGATCACTCATGTAGAGCTTTGGGAGCGAACCAAGCAAGTTTCAGTGGACCAAGAGGTGAATAAAAGACGCTGATGTTGGATAGGACACACATTGATAAAACTGGAGAACAGTATAGTATGTCTTTGCATTGGAATCCACAGGAGCATAGGAATAAAGGAAGGCCCAAAAACACATGGAGAATGAAGTTAGAAAGATGGGGAAAGCTGCCTGCGATAGCAAAGGATAGAACGACTTGGCATGAGTTGGTTGAGGGCCTTTGCTCCATTAGGGGCGAGAAAGGCTGAAGAAGAAGGTTATGGGGCTCCACTTTAGGAAAAAAGGTCCACTGCCCGCTCCCCAATAGGCATTTTGTAGAAGGTGACTGATTAGCGGTGTTGCTTCGAAGATGGAATATGACTAGAGTGTGCGGAACCAACAGTCTGCATATAATTAAACCAGAGCTATGAGACGGATGTGCATACAAAACTTTCTGGAACAAGACCAGAAGTGGAGGAACAACCAGATCTTACCGCCAGAGTTTACAGCAGGTGAACTCTAAGAAGAAGGAACATAGGGTATAACACATATGGTTAAAGGTTGCTGAGAAGAAGGGACATAGGGTATAATACATGTGGTTAAAGGTTGCTGAGAAGAAGGGACATAGGGTGTATAATACATGTGGTTAAAGGTTGCTGAGAAGAAGGGACATAGGGTGTATAATACATGTGGTTAAAGGTTGCTGAGAAGAAGGGACATAGGGTGTATAATACATGTGGTTAAAGGTTGCTGAGAAGAAGGGACATAGGGTGTATAATACATGTGGTTAAAGGTTGCTGAGAAGAAGGGACGTAGGGTATAATAATAGGTTAAGGCTGAGAAAAAAGGGACATAGGGTGTATAATACATGTGGTTAAAGGTTGCTGAGAAGAAGGGACATAGGGTGTATAATACATGTGGTTAAAGGTTGCTGAGAAGAAGGGACATAGGGTATAATACATGTGGTTAAAGGTTGCTGAGAAGAAGGGACATAGGGTATAATACATGTGGTTAAAGGTTGCTGAGAAAAAGGGACATAGGGTGTATAATACATGTGGTTAAAGGTTGCTGAGAAGGGACAAGGGTGTATAATACATGTGGTTGTATGCTGAGAAGAAGGGACATAGGGTGGTGGTTAAAGGTTGCTGAGAAGAAGGGACATAGGGTGTATAATACATGTGGTTAAAGGTTGCTGAGAAGAAGGGACATAGGGTATAATACATGTAGTTAAAGGTTTCCTGATAAGAAAACCAATATCCTGGCTGTTATCACATGCACAGCTGCTGGTAGCTGTGTGTGTTGTAGACCCCAGGGACAGAATCGTCCAGTCAAAGTACTTATCTGGGCAATCAATTGAAGGCTCACTTGAGTTCCAGAGGCTGGTAACAATTCTTGGTCAACACAACAGAGTTAAAAGTTAGTTGCGTGTGTATCCTTTAACAGGACATTGCAGAACCAACCCCGGCATTTGTCGACTGTTGTGGCTTTTCTAGGCAAATTTACATTCAGCAGTTTGCCATAGCTTTCTGAATAATTGACTTTGGATACCACTGTCAAAACCAACACAAGATGGCCTGCTCCCGAATTGCCTGCAGATGGGATTGAGCCTGGAATTATGAAGCACGCTGGAAATGCCTAAGCCATTTCTAGTCACTTCCTCTTGTAGGTTTTGGGACCCATTTGACCGGAGTGGGGGGGGGGGGGGGGGGAGAGGTAAGGTCCACTGCACCCTTTCTCCATCAAGCAAACCCTAAAAGGCAACCAATTAGGAATTTGCCAAGCGCCCCTTTATTGGTCAATGCTGAGGAAGAAGATATCTAGTCTCTTCTAACCTTATATTGTTTAAACTTCTGCGTTTATCTGGAGACGTAAATGCAATGTGCCCGTTTACAACATGCTGGGATATTTGTACCTTTTGTCCAACACATCCAACTTTTTTACAGGCCTTCCTTGTCTGGGTTAGCCTTCCTGGATTATGTTTGAACACTGGGCTTTCACTAGTTAGTTGTATATAAGAAGCAGTGGGAGTAATTAATGTGGAGCAAGTTATAGTTTAATCTGCTTATTGCTGTGCAAGTTATAGTTATTCTGTTTATTGTTATGCTGCACATTGTAGTTTATTGTTGTTCTCCATGTTAAGATATTCTATTTGTTGTTGTTCTGTAGGTTTAGTTTAATATGTTTATTGTTGCATGCAATTCATAGAATTTCTTTATTGTTTTGCATGTTGTAGTTATACTGCAAGTTATAGTTAATCAGTCGGCACTCTTCTGAATACCGGCCCCATATTATTTGCTGTCCAAAACATTCCTGTTAGAGCCTCAAAGGGTTCAAGAGGTTACAAAGAGGTCAAGGGGTTATAAAGAGGTTATACAAAATATGGAACCAAAAAAAATGGAACAATACGTACCAATAATGCTGTGCAATAATTGCGGCCATCATCATCAGTTTCCACATCTGCGCATTAAGCGTTGTGAGAAATAGTTTTCGATCAACTGAAGTGACGTGGGGAGGAATAATTTTCGATCTATCGGAGCGCTGAAGTGACGTGGGGAGGAATAATTTTCGATCCATCGGAGTGCTGTGTCGATGGGCAGCAACGTTAAGATCATCATCATGTCTTCACTTCTGCCGTTAAGCGCCGTGAAATAATAATTGAAGCCATCATCATCAGTTTTCACTTCTGCGCAATGTTTAAAGTTAAGCGCCGTGGGGAGAAATAGTTTTCGATTGACTAAAGTGACGTGGGGAGGTTTAACTACATGACCTCAAGTCCCTAACAACGACCTCTTGAGGCCCTTAATGGGATTTTTTGTCTTTGAATAATATGGGGCCGGTATTCGGAAGAGTGCCTAATCAGTCTGTTTATTGTCTTGCATGCAAATTGTAAAATCTGGTTATTGACGTTCTGCAGGAAATAGTTAATCAGACTGTTTATTGTTTTGCAAATTGTAGAATCTGTTTATTGATGTTCTGCAGGTTATAATTTTTTTTTTGGGGAGGGGGGGGGGGGGGGGGGGTCTGCAATTTATAGAATCTGTATTGTTGTGCTGCAGTTTTTTAGAATCTGTATATTGTTATTCTGCAAGTTATAGTGAATCTGTTTATTGTTGAACTCACTGCCCTTATTTTGTTTCACCAACTGCTAAATGTCCTTTTAAAACTTTCTCTACCAGGATCCTAAAGATACACCTCCCCCAACACGAGTGGAAACCAGAGATGAACGTAAGGAGAGAAAAGTAAGATATGCCTTTCTTTTGTGTGTGTGTGGTAGACCTTTACAGTTATGTCCGTATAATTTACACATTTTTAAGTAAGCTTAGTTGTACACTTTTTGTTTGTGCTTTAGGTGAATATAACCATGGCATTTTTAGCAGTGGCAGTTTCCGGCCATTGGGAAAGATCAGTTTAACATGAGAGTCGGCACAGAACCAACACTGAACTTTATAGGTAGACAACAAATCAAATGGTTTGGCCATGTAACAAGATTGGCATCAGACAAGGCATCACAGAAAGCATTGTGATACACATACAGTGGTAAAATGTCCAGAGGTTGACAAATGCAGATGGACCACAGAAATATCAGAGACACTGAAAAGTACTTTATGCGAAGTGAACAGAAGCTGAGGACCAGTTCAGATCTCTTCCTACCCTGACGCTGCGAGGCATTCCAGGAGTAGAAAAAAAAAAGAAGATAAAATGTAATATCACAGTAATGCAGTGTAGGGTTATGTTTTTTTTTGTTTGCAGCGCAAAGAGAGACAGGAGCAGCACGCTTACAAGTTAGAACAAGATCTGGCTTTATGTAAGTATGCACTGGTCACTGCCATTGATTTCCTCTCCACATCTTGCCCAGAGTTCTATAGGATTGTCTGCGAAAGGTATGACAGTGCCAGTAGGTTTGGGCGGAACTTCTGCAACCTCCGCACCTTTAAAAGACTGGCTGTTGATCAGTCGATCCACTTTGATACTGTCAACATATAATTGAATCAAGAATTGGCATCACTGCACTTGGGATATTCCCGCATATGCTCTGTCTCCCTCCTTAGAAGCCAACAAAAAGTCGGCATGCTAATATATCCTAATAGAACTTTGCGACCTGATTAAAGGTTTATCCAAGTTCCTGCCTCATTGTTGAACATCTTCTCGACCCTCCATCCCCCGCCCCAGCTGAATTCATCCTTCTAGAAGTGGATTCTCTGTTTTGTCACAATTCTTAACATGCGGCCAGCGTCCAAAGTTAGGATCGCAAGAAGTGCAGTGGTGGTAGCAAACGTCGGCAGACCGCATAACATGCACTCATGGTAGTCAGTGGGTTAAAAGTATTTGGGTTTAAAGTTTGGTTTTGTGCTTGTAGTTTGAAATGTTTAGAAACCTGGCTTTTTCACATGCACAGCTTGTTGTAGCAGAATATGTAGTAAACACCGGGAATATCAAAGTCTAGTTTAAAAGTGCTCACCTGGACTGTTAGAATGTCTTAACTTGTGCTTTCAACATTTATATTAAAAAATATAGAGTTGAAAGGATACACTTTAAATTGTTTTGATATCTGTATTTCCTTAATGTAGTTCAAATTTAGGTAAACTATTAATGGAGATTATGCTTTAGAAAGAGTGTGTATATGAATGTTTGCATGCAGAGTTTGAAATTAATTGTTGATTTTGATTATAATTCTTACAGGGGCCCCAGCAACTAACCCAAATGCCACATCAAATCCATTCAGGACTTTGTTCATCGCCAGAATTGTGAGTTGTGATGAACCCACATGGGGACAAAACATTTTTTTTTCTTTCTTTCTTTAGCATATGCAGAGGATATAATTCTCATGCATAAATAATAAATATTGAATTAAGAATCAAAATCATTGTTCATTTAAAGATCATCTTCATCGGACATGACTATAAATGCTTCAATCTCCTCCTCAGTATGTCGGAACACCCCCATACACACTCCCTCCAGTGCATAAATATAATTACAAAAAACAGCTAAAAGTAGCTGGTTTTTAAAGTGAAACAATGTATTGAAAGGGGGGGGGGGGTGGGGGGTCTCATGCCTTTTTTTCACTAACACCACAAGAAAGTTAATTCATTTCTGTACATAATAATACAAGTCTTGTTGTCACAATTCGATCTGAAAATAATTTAAATGTTTTCATGGTAGCTGTTTATTTACCTATTTATGTAAGCAACATTTTCAAACTGCTAAAACTCAGTTATTTGTCAGCCTATTTTCATATATTAAAATTTTTTTTTATCTATTAGAAATAGTAAAATTGTGATTCTCTAATCTATAACTTACATGAAAGACACATTTTCATTGGCCAGTTTTCTAGAGGGTCTGCTAACCAGTTTCAACCAGTCGAAAAAGGCCTTGCAGAAATTTTGTAAACAAACAATGGCTGCTCTGTGACACATGTAACATGTGTTTTGAGATTCCTGGTTATTTTAATCTTGAGCCCGGCTCTCTAGCGTAGTTGGCTAAACCGGACTGCGAGGTGACCGGGTTATGAATTCCTTGTGGTCCGGGTTCACGCCCGGGGGTAGGCAGAAAAGCCACATTTCTACCAGATTTATGGTATTTATCATGGAGTCAAGGCCGAACAGTTGCGATATCCATAATACCGAGCCTAAGGGTTAACAACTCGTGGCTTCTGAATCTAAAAATATTTTTTTTTTAAATCTTGATTGTCTGCATTGTTGTTTATGCAAGTTAATAAGTATGGATAAGAAAACATGTGCATGTCATCATAAGAAAGGGAAATTAATGGTAATAGATATACCAAGGCAGCTGCTATGTGTGGACGTTACTGATTCCATATTGACAGCCAACGAGGGTAGTCCAGTGATACTGCTGCGGTGGTTAGTAATTCAGACACTAAGTCGTTTGAGAAAATTTTAGTACTTTATGAAAGTTTGCAACAGTTTAATTTCTGGTTCCGTTGTGCTCTACAGAATTTTGACACAAGTGAATCGAAGCTTCGGAGAGAATTTGAAGTTTATGGGCCTGTGAAAAAAGTAAGTTTGTCCTGTGTATGCGTTTACTTTTTTGTCTGTTACATTATCTGCCTGTTTGTATTTAATCCTCTGCTGTTTTTTTTTTAAATATCTTATGTCAGATAATTAGCCCACTGAGTGGAGTGCATTTTTTGTAATATCACATTACATCTAGATGTGGCATTTCCCACAAACTTATTCTTGGGGTGATTAGTTTGGTGGTTCACCGTGAATTCCATGTGTGGCAGAGATCTGCCAGGTTGTGGTGGTTGTAAATGCTCTGTAAGTTTGAATTAATTAGTCTCAGTCTGGGTTCAGAGGCCTAATGGGGAGGGGAGAGAGAAGTAGAAATGAAACACACCCCACCCCCTTTTCTGTGCCGACAACCCTTCTAAGTGTGAACTATTACATCTTAAAGTCTATGCCATGTGGCATGGGTAGTCATGTCTATCCACAATCTTCTGTTTCGTGTGCATTCAGTCAACTCTAATAATAGAGATGATCCTCCATGCCATGATGTTAAACTGTCCATCATCTTTTCTGTTGGTCTCCCTCTGCCTTTCCTACTGTCACACTGTACTCGTTTTCTCCTTTTCATCACATGACCAGATAATGTAGATCGCTCTTTTTGATGTGGGCAATCAGTTCTCTTTGTGAGTCAGTTTCTTTCAAGACATCTTCATTACCTTTTTTTCTTTGTACAGGGTATTCTAATAATTTGCCTATAAAACCACATCCCCGCAGCTTCAAAATAAGTTTTCACTAATCTACCAACTGTCCACTGTGAACACATACGGATAAATAAGTATGATGCATTTGACATTCAAGTTGTCTTAATGGATTTCATATCTGTTGGATATTTAACTACTGAATGTATTCTGTTTCAGATTTCTGTCATCAATGATCGAAACTCGGGCAAGCCAAGGGGCTATGCCTTCATTGAATATGAGCACGAGAGGGACATGCATGGTGAGTCCTCCCATGTTTTCTATGTCTGTCTGCATACAGCCACACAGTGGATTTTCATGTCTGGTTTGATGCATAACACTTCCATCACACACACCAGACAGTATACACATGCTTATGGGCAGTTATAAATGAACAAGCACATGTTCATTTCTCCAGCTTGAATTTTGTGTATCACTTTACATTCATGTTGCTGTTGATCTTTGTCGGGGTAAGATGGCTATCCATCTTAAACACATTTATGGTTAGGGTCCCTTTTTGTTTTGTGACTTGTTTGGGAACATCAAAACCAACCAGTTAGAGACAAAGATATCTGCTGAGATTGTTGGGGTTATCTGTTAAGGACAGTGTCAGTACTGTGCCATTTTTTTTTAAATGTAGAAGTGCGACTAGTACATAATTACTTGGCCGTGACAAAATATTTCAAGATTGAGCTGCAGAAACTAGTTGCACTTAAATTCCACATTTATTTAACAATTATGTGGGGTTCTCCCGCTCCCCCTTTTTTTTTTTTGTGTGCTTTAGTTTTTTTAATAATCTTTTATTAAGTTTTGTTTTAAATAGATTGGCATTCATTGCCTTAGCTCTGAAGAGTTCTTGTGTATAATGGAGTGAAGCTTGTGTTTCTGTGTGACACACTTTTGATTTGGACATTTTAAAATGCGATTACATCTGTATTTCTTGTGTGATATTGTGGTCTGTAGAAAGATTCAATAGTTGTGATGTCTGTACATAATACCCTCATACCTTACATACCATAAAGCTTGTGTGTGGTCAAATAAGGAGACATGGAGACACTGTTTTGAGGGCAGGCAGCTCTTGCATCTTCAGGTAATTTCGTTCCTACCCAGGTATTCTGCTGCCAATGGAGGACAGGTAAAAATCTGGCTGCCTTATGCAGAACATTAGTTTTGTTTGTGTAATTAGTTGTTATTTTTTTTATTAGGTGACAGAATTTAGGGTAGACAAACTGGACTGAATGCATGCGCTGGAAGTTTATTTAAATTATGTTTGTTGTGGATTATGAATGACTGGTCCCTTTGAGATTTAGTGTCAGTAGACTGGGGGAAACCCATTGTGAAGACTTCAGCTACTTTCGTGATTTGATGAACCTTTAGCAATATTACTCACTGGGAGAGCCTATGTGGCAATTTAAGATACCTGGACAAATTCACAAATAGTGGTTATAGAAGTCACAGAAGAAATATAGATTGGAGGAGACACTAGACGAGCAAAGCTATAAGTTCTAGTTTTGACTCTTTGCTGAATGTGGCAGTTTTTGCTTAAATGTCCACATCCACTTGGCTTTAGACTGCAGACCTTTCCCCACTTATCAGTTGCCCTGTTGAGTTCTTTACTCTGGTGCTTGTTTAAAAGCAAAGGGCACACCCCGATGTCAACAGAGAGCTCCCTAAAATGTCTACAGATGGCACACCCGAATGTCAACAGAGAGCCCCCTAAAATGTCTACAGATGGCACACCCGAATGTCAACAGAGAGCTCCCTAAAATGTCTACAGATGGCACACCCGAATGTCAACAGAGAGCTCCCTAAAATGTCTACAGATGGCACACCTGAATGTCAACAGAGAGCTCCCTAAAATGTCTACAGATGGCACACCCGAATGTCAACAGAGAGCTCCATAAAATGTCTACAGATGGCACACCCGAATGTCAACAGAGAGCTCCCTAAAATGTCTACAGATGGCACACCCGAATGTCAACAGAGAGCTCCATAAAATGTCTACAGATGGCACACCCGAATGTCAACAGAGAGCTCCATAAAATGTCTACAGATGGCACACCCGAATGTCAACAGAGAGCTCCATAAAATGTCTACAGATGGCACACCCGAATGTCAACAGAGAGCTCCATAAAATGTCTACAGATGGCACACCCGAATGTCTACAGATGGCACACCCGAATGTCTACAGATGGCACACCCGAATGTCTACAGATGGCACACCCGAATGTCAACAGATGGCACCCTCAGATGTCCAGAGGTACCCCACCAACTGTCCACACAGGGCACCTGTCAGATGTCCACTTATCCCAGCCAACAGCACAGTAAAGGAATGGTCCCTGTTAGATGTGACGAAGATTCATTAAGGGGGATACTGGAAATTGAAGGCACCTTCATTGGGCATGGAAATACATGAGACAGTGGAATTTGCAAGGAACAGAGAATTTCTGGCAAGCCATGATGGCAGTGACGTCATGTAAAACACTTTCTACATGAAGTTAGGTGGTCTCTGAAGCACATGTTTTCCTTTTGCAAGGTGCTGACTTCTGGAGGTGGCCATGTTGAATCCCAGCATGCTTATAGCTTTGATATTTTAATCCGGTTGTCGGGTGTGCACTCGTGTTCACAAATGTGTATGCCTTCTATGAGTATCGGTCACTACTTATGCATTTAATTCTGATGTAATTTGCGCTGATAAGAGACAGAAAAGGCAACATTCATACATGTATGGCGCAGACCAGTCTTTTTCTGTGAATTCATAACATTTTTTATTTTTTGTTAATGTTAGCCTTATTTTTTTACCGGGCATATCATATTCAGCTTTGTAATTTGTCAACAGTCTAGCTTTGTTGTAAATTTGTATTTTATTGATGGGTAACCCCAGCTGCCATTAGAGTATGTCAGTGATTAGAGTATGTCAGTGATTAGAATATTTGTAGTCTTTAGAGCAGACTTGTTAGCCATGCTATGTTAAGTCGTTGAATGTCCACATGTGAGAGGGTAAGTTGTGCGACATGGGCGGGTCACGTGGAGGTGTTTCTGTGAGGACATGACAGGATTGATAAGCTGATGATGCACTCTCCCAGGATGTGGTAAGGGCACACTAAACTGCGTGTCTCCTTATTTCTCCCGCAGCCACCGCCCAGGCCAGCACACACGTGTGTTACGTGTTTGGCACACAGACTTGATCTCCATTAGCTCCTTACACACATATTGTTGTCCATGTACTACTACTGTGTCCATCCTCTGGCTAGGTTTGTATGTGCGTGGGTTTGTATGTGCGGTAAGATATCGCTAGTGCTGCGCGCATACAGTTAAGGCTGTTCTATTAAAAACTCAATTATTTACACCTGAGAGTTAGTTTAATGAAAGGACCAATTCTCATTTCATCATTTATCATTAAATTCAGAGATTAGTGTTATTCATATTCTTTAGAGAATGATAGAACCTGTGTATTGTTATTACAGTTACACATTCATCAGTCAGTTATGTGTATTATAATTCATACTGAATAATAATGCAGGGAGGGATTAATGTAATTTATTAATCTAGAGAAAAATAGATCCTAACTATAAATTTAATTTGAAAAGTTATCAAATTTAAGGAGCAGTTAGCTTTTAGAAAATAAATTTTTTTTTGTTTAAATTCTCACTGACTTCAAGATCATATCTTCAGTTATACTTGAAATTGTCACTATGTACTTGTAGTACGTAGATATTTTTGGATAAATTGTGCTAAGAATAAGTAGTAATATTTGTGAAGATATGGTCAGGGAGATCGGTGTTGCGGGTAAGTTATCGGGTAAGTTCTTGGTGCCACATGGCGAACAGACTGCCCTCGATGACCTACACCACGAACATGATAAATCAAGCGCAGAGTGTTTGGATTTTGAGGGAGAGTGGCGTAACAACTGGGTAGGTTAGCGTAAGTTGGTGTTGTTGCGTGCAGTTCTGTACCTTGTTGATTGCCCCCTACAACACATCAGATTTGTTGGCTGTATTTGTGAGTCCATATAGGGGCAGATTCTGTGTTTCATCAGTTTGTGTTAAGGGTAGGTATCTTTAGGTCTTCCCAGCTCGTTGATGGCTCTGTGAAAGTTTATTCTCTTGCAACACTTGTCTGCTGTATGTCTGGAACTTCATTCATCTGTTGTTTTCTTTTTGTCATCTGTATTTGTTAACACATGGTTTCTCTAACTGATGTGAACACATTATTCCTTACTCATTTGCTTCCTACTTATTCTGATATAATATTTTCCTGGTGTGGGTTCAAGGGCCCAGTTCATTGGAAGCGGGGGGGGGGGGGGGGGGGGGGGGGTAGACCCACTGCCTCCCTAACAAACATGTCGTAGAAGGTGATTAATTATGAATGTTTCCTTCAAAGTTGTGCATCTGCTTAAAAGGCGAGGAACCAACAGTCTGCATACAAATAATCAGTCTGTAAAACGGATGTGTTCTCTAACAAGACCAAAGTCCAGAAGTGGATGGACGATCAGAAATTTCTGCCAGAGTTTGGAAGCAGCTAGGAAGAAGAAGATACACAATGTCCCGTAATATTTCCTTCCTGGATTGTCTGCTGCTTAGTTGCTGAACCAGACCTAGCATTTTTTGGCCGTTGGGTAGTGTTACTGGCAATTTTAAGTTCAGTTGTTTGCCATAGCTATCTGAATGGTTGGCTGTCAATGCCACCCAAAATGAGCACAAGGCGGTCTGATGCCAAATCGCATGCAGCCAGCACTGAACCTGGCAAGCAGCCATAGACACAAATGAAATAAAGCAAAAATTTTTAAAACCAGGAATATCTTTCATCTGTGATTTTATGATTCTGTTATTTGTGAGATCTTGTGGTCATATTATTTTTTATATTTAAAAGGCAACATTTATTTTTTAAAAGGTTTTAATGCAGTTTTTTTTTTCTGTCTCTTACATATCTCATTTTTATTATTATTCCCAATGTCGGTTTTTTCTTCACTTTAGAAATGCATCTCAGAACTGTTTTTCTTTGTGTGTGTGTGTGTTAATACATCATCATCACCACCACCATCGTCATTCTTTTTGTGAACACCTTTATCACTTCCATCACCATCTTCATGACCATTTGCCTCAGGTACAAGCGCCACGATCACAATATCTATTCAGGCTGTACCTGAGTTTATGGTTGGCCGTAATCATCTTTAGAGCCATGTTCAGGCTGATGACTCTTGATTGATGGAAGTGATCCCTGGGCAGTTACCTCTCTTGGGGTTGTGAAGTGATAGGCACCAAGCCGATAACCAGAAACATTCCACTGTAATCATTGATGTAACTTACCTTTCAGCCAGTGTAATCATTGATGTAACTTACCTTTCAGCCAGTGTAATCATTGATGTAACTTTACCTTTCAGCTGATGTAAATTACCTTTCAGCCAGTAAACATTTGGCTCTGCCTGTGCATATGTAGCATGAATATATTTTATGCAGAAGTGTTCAGAACATATACTTTACTTTCAAACTTGGGTCGCCAAAGATAAACATGTTATTATTCAGGTGCGGTCAGATGTAACTTGAAATAATTAGCTCTAATGCCCGATCCTTACTGCAGTATGGCGCCAAAACATGGAGAACAACTAAAACAGTTACTAACAAACTACAAACAGTCATTAACTGGTGCCTGTGCAGAATAGAGGGAATTAAATGATTAGAAGCACTAATGTAGATGTTACGACAGTACGTCAAGAGTTGAAGAAGTGATGCTGTCTTTGGTTAAGACACACGTTGAGAACAATATAACTAGGGTGTCTTTCCACTGAAGACCACAGGGGCATAAAAATAAGGGCAGACCCCCCTAAAAAATCATTGGTGATGTGAACTCGCTGAATTTCCTCAAAAGTATGAAAGGGTATTCAGTTTTGCCAAAACTGTACCGATGCTACACATAGTTAGGGAAACAAAACTATGGCCAGGAAAAATGAAAATACTGCAGAAAAAAATTATAACTCACATATTAGCCATTCAGTATGAGCACTTCCGATAACTAAACTCTGGTTCTGATCCTAGAAAAGTGTAGTCAGTGAGTTAACCACAACAAGCATTTTGATGTTGACCAACTGGCATGAAATAGCCAATTGTGAGCTCTGCCTGTGGGATGTTAACAATTGCTCTCCGTTTAAACAAAAATGTCTTTTGTTCTTTTTTGTTACTGAATGTTTCTGTTGATCAGCGGCATACAAGCATGCAGATGGTCATAAGATCGATGGGAGGAGAGTGTTGGTCGATGTGGAAAGAGGCCGCACTGTGGAAGGCTGGAGACCCCGACGTTTAGGTAATTCCTGTTGTTATTGTGAACCTAAATATTTGTTTAAATGATTTCCAAATAAAGTTGTCTGCTCTAAATTTGTTACCTCTAGAATTCATTGAACATCTGTATTAACTGTGAAATAATACTAATTTGGTGAGATACAGCGTAAAAATTGTTTTGTGGTGTGCATCTCTCTCTCCCTCTAACTCACTCAAATGGTGACAGATTATGTTCAGAAGGGTATGTACTTTTGTGGGAGCAATGCCAGCTTGCGAGATTGACTCTCTGCGCCAACAGTGAGTTACAGTTATAGACCAGTTGGCACTGTCTGCGTCATCAGTAAGTTGCAGTTATAGACCAGTTGGTACCGTCTGCGCCAATAGTAAGTTGCAGTTATAGTTGACACTCTGTGGGTGATGTGGTCAACATAAATCCAGCAGGCTTTACTTCCCAGGACTTTACCTGGCACTTGTTTTAGGCTGGGGAGAGTAGTTTTTTTTTTTAAAAATTATGCTTGATGCGGATTATACTGGTGTTTACAGTCTTAGATATCCCATCTGTCTCTTGCGGGGTTGACCTCTGAGTACAGCTCATAACTCCAAAATACCCAGTTTGGTTGAGATGCACATAGTTTGGCAGCAGAACAGTTTGCTTTGCTTTTGTCAGGGGTAGGGCGGGGCTATTCAGCTAGCAGGCCAATTCCAGTCCAGCCTTCAGAGCCCTAGCAAGTGGCCCCTAGGACCAGCTGTATTGTGTTGTACTGATGATCATTCTGTGACAGTCCCCATTGTCAACACATTGGCCTGTAAGTAAACTTAGTTAAATAAAGTACGGGAGACAGAAGGTTGTGGATATAGACATGACAATACCAATGCCACAAGATATGGAAGATCAGCTGTGACAGAATTAATCGAAAGTACGGGAGACAGAAGGTTCTGGATATAGACATGACTATACCAATGCCACAAGATATGGAAGATCAGCTGTGTCAGAATTAATTGAAAGTACGGGGGACAGAAGGTTGTGGATATAGACATGACTATACCAATGTCACAAGATATGGAAGATCAGCTGTGTCAGAATTGATTTGAAGTAAACGTGACAAATGGCTGTGACCACCCGTGCCACACGGCATCAACTAGAAGAAGAAGTCGCTATCGGTTGCAGCTGTCCAAGATTGAGATTTCCTATGAATATGCAATAAAATTGTTCTACTTATTCTCGCACAGGTGGTGGTCTTGGTGGCACCCGCAAAGGAGGCCCCGACGAGAACACAAGGTTTTCTGGAAGAGACGAGTTCAGTACTGTTGGCAATGATAGAGCTGGAGGCGGGTAAGTTAATGGCAGTTAACTTCAGTTACAACGTCATTTAGATGGAAGGGGTGGTGGTAGGACTCTTACAGGCAGACTGTTTAAGATCTGTGAAATCTCCTGGCTTAAAGTTTGGACCACATGTATCTGGGTAATTTTTATCACTTTTGGGAAAACCCTGTTTAAAATCCAATGTACAGTTCAGACCTGATAAGAAGAACTTACTAGGGAATTTATCTTGTCCAGAAATGAAATCAAGGATATGATAATGCATGCGCAACGTACCATACATTATTGCATAGGCAGTGAATACGACTAACTATATATATATATATATATATACACACACACGCGCAACACACACACTCCAAAATACCCAGTGAGGTGCAGGTGATTTGACAGCAGACCACTTTGCGTTGCTTTTGAAATAGCTGGCAGACTGAGTCTAGCCTGCAGAGACCTAGCAAGTGGCCTTTGGATCGTTGTCTGTGTATTGATGATGATTCTATGACAGTCCCCATTTAAACTATATATATATATATATATATATATATATATATATATATATATATATATATATATATATATATATATATATATATATATATATATATATATATATATATATATATATATATATATATATATATATATATATATATATATATATATATATTGAGTGCTATCATCAACCACCCCCTTTTCGTTTGTTTTTTTCTTGCATGGACACTTTATGGGGGAAAGGACAGCTTTTAAAAAAATAAAATAAAAAGCCTGCTGACAGATCAGCCATACTCAAGAATGCAAGCCGTTGTAAAGACTCGAAACTGACTAAACAATAATGCGTTTAATTGCAATCTGAAAACTCACCAACTGTCAAAGGATCTCGGCCAACCAACCAATGCTTCAGCAAAGTTTTTGTGTGTGTGTGTGTGACATTTGCTATAAATACCTTTCACATTAACAAAACACCATAAATATATATATATTCTTTTAGGTTTCAACCAAGAGTTGAAGACGAACGAGGGATTCGGCGCAGAGAAAGATCACCGAGTCGTGAACGCAGGCGCCGCAGCAGAAGCAAAGAGCGCCCGCGGCGTAGTAGGAGCAGAGAAAGGGTTCGCCGCTCAAGAAGTCGGGAGAGGAAGAGAAGCAGGGAGCCGAGGAATGAGCGGGGTGATGCAGAAGGTATGAATATTAATACATTTAATTATTTGACCTGACTTGTTTATGTACTAATCATGAGGTAGCATAATTTATGGGATGCGCTGGGGTGGCATCATTTATGGGATGTGCTGGGGTGGCATCATTTATGGGATGTGCTGGGGTGGCATCATTTATGGGATGTGCTGGGGTGGCATCATTTATGGGATGCGCTGGGGTGGTATCATTTATGGGATGTGCTGGGGTGGCATCATTTATGGGATGTGCTGGGGTGGCATCATTTATGGGATGTGCTGGGGTGGCATCATTTATGGGGTGTGCTGGGGTGGCATCATTTATGGGATGTGCTGGGGTGGCATCATTTATTGGATGTGCTGGGGTGGCATCATTTATCGGATGCACTGGGGTGGCATCATTTATCGGATGCACTGGGGTGGCATCATTTATGGGATGTGCTGGGGTGGCATCATTTATGGGATGCGCTGGGGTGGCATCATTTATGGGATGCGCTGGGGTGGCATCATTTATGGGATGTGCTGGGGTGGCATCATTTATTGGATGTGCTGGGGTGGCATCATTTATCGGATGTGCTGGGGTGGCACCATTATTAGATTCACGGGCATGGCATCATTTATTGGATGTGCTGGGGTGGCATCATTATTAGATTCACGGGCATGGCATCATTTATTGGATGTGCTGGGGTAGCATCATTTATTGGATGTGCTGGGGTGGCACCATTATTAGATTCACGGGCATGGCATCATTTATCGGATGTGCTGGGGTGGCATCATTTATTGGATGTGCTGGAGTGGCACCATTTTTAGATTCACGGGCATGGCATCATTTATTGGATGCATTGGGTTGGCATCAATCATAGGATGTGCTGGGGTGGGGTGGCATCAGTCATCGGATACACTGGGGTAGCATAATTTTTTGATGCACCAGGGTGGCATCATTTATCCGATGCGCTGGGGTGGCAACTTTTATCATATATGCTGTGGGGGTATTATTCATTTGATTCGCTGGGAGGCATAATTTTTTCAATTCGCTGGGGTGGAATTTATCAGTTGCACTGGGTGGCATCATTTATCAGGTGCACTGGGGTGGCATCATTTATCGGGTGCACTGGGGTGGCATTTATCAGGTGCACTGGGGTGGTATCATTTATCAGGTGCACTGGGGTGGCATCATTTATCAGGTGCACTGGGGTGGCATCATATATTAATTGCGCTGAGGTGGCATTCATCTGATGCAGTGGGGTGGCATCGTTAGTCGGATGCATTGGGGAAGCATCCTTTGTCGGATGCCGTGGTGTAGCATCATTTGTTGGATGCCGTGGTGTAGCATCATTTGTTGGATTTCTCAGTGTGGCATCATTTGTTGGATGCCTTGTAGCTTAAGTTTTTGGATGCCTTGTTGCCTTAGTTTTTGGATGCCTTGTAGCTTAAGTTTTTGGATGCCTTGTAGCCTTAGTTTTTGGATGCCTTGTAGCTTAAGTTTTTGGATGCCTTGTAGCTTAAGTTTTTGGATGCCTTGTAGCCTTAGTTTTTGGATGCCTTGTGGCCTTAGTTTTTGGATGCCTTGTAGCTTAAGTTTTTGGATGCCTTGTGGCCTCAGTTTTTGGATGCCTTGTAGCCTTAGTTTTTGGATGCCTTGTAGCTTAAGTTTTTGGATGCCTTGTAGCCTTAGTTTTTGGATGCCTTGTAGCCTTAGTTTTTGGATGCCTTGTAGCTTAAGTTTTTGGATGCCTTGTGGCCTCAGTTTTTGGATGCCTTGTAGCCTTAGTTTTTGGATGCCTTGTAGCTTAAGTTTTTGGATGCCTTGTGGCCTCAGTTTTTGGATATCATCTGGTGTTTGTTGTTGGGAGGCGATATGAAGGGTAGGTGTATTGCTTTGGGATTTAGTCTATGGATTAGGACTCAACACAGTATGATGATGACAATGAACTGGGGATACAGGGTGACTGTCCATCTAATGCTCCACCTATACACAATGATATGCTTCCAAGGCGGTGTCACATAAAAGAGAATACCTTGACTCGACGTGAGTCCACAACATACACCTTTGTGTTTGCTCCTGGGGTCACTGGTAGCCTTTTCATAACTCAAAAAGTATTGCCAACATCTCGAGCTACTGTCTTGTTTCACTAGTGATCCTACGCTCCCCTGCGTCGCCACCCAAGACAGATTCTTCTCTTCCTTTGACTGCACTCTCGACTGTCCTCTAACAGGTGCATCAACTACACTCTCGACTGATCTCTAGCAGTCTCTAGCGGGTGCTTCAACTAGTCAGTCTCCAACGCAATCAAGAGCCGATCCTTCCTGTTAATTCCTACTAAATTCTGGGCCCTCCATGCCTTGTCTTCACAAAATCCACAAAACGGGAGCATTTTAACTCACACACCACATTCTGATGCCCAAGATACACTTTCACCGAACTAAAAAAAATACACAATTACTGCTAAAAATTCACAGACATCTGAATATGCGTTCGCCTGATGGGACTGGCTGAGAGACTGAACACCCGCGGCCAACTTTTAGCTCAGCCTCCCCCCGTATGGTTCTTGCTAAGCGCCTGCAAACTACTGTTAGTCATGAATCTCCAGAAACACCTCTTTCACGATTTCGTGCACATCATGGACCTTACCTCAATCCACATGCATCCCTTTTGCTGATGTCTCTGTTACCATCATCAGCTTGTGCCATTACAACTGGGGCAGGCAGTCACGCCTCTGACCAGCCCAGTGAATTCAGCACCTAACATTTGTTTTTCTTTTGGGTGACTGATGTGAGTGAAATAGTTGTAATTCATGATGCGGTGAAATTATTGTTAAAACATGAATACTTATCACATTGTGTATATTTTTAATCAACTTGTACTTATTGTTTCAGTTGTGGTTCCCGAAGATGAGGAAAACAATGCTGCTCGCCGAGATAAGAAAAGAAGCAGGAGAAGCCGATCCCGCGACCGAGGAGATCGCCGTAGAAGTCGATCCCGCGACCGTAAGAGAGGCAAGCGCTCCCGCTCAAAGGATCGTAAGTTTAAGATTAAGGAAGAGGACCTGCAGGCGGCAGCCCAGTGGGTTGGAGGAGACGAGGATAGACAGAATGGAAATCAAGATTACGGCAATCAAGATTTCGAGGATAGCATTCGGGTCAAGGAAGAGAAAGCGGATGCTTATGCCGGATATGGAGGTCCTGGCATCAACATGGATCGTGGGGAGCATGAGTATGGTGAATTAGAGGGAGAAGAGGGTTCTTGAAAGGTTTTGCTTGCTACGCTTCATATGTGCTGAGAAAAAGAGTATATATACGAGGGGGTCACTTGATAAGTTGTGCACTTCAGTATGCAGGGGTCAAGGTACATAACTTGAAATTAGCGGGGACTTCCTTCTGTTCAGGTTTAAAACATGCTTTCCACAAAACCGATGTATCAAGTTTAGGTAAAGGCTAAAGACATTGTTTATGGGGGGGGGGGATTTAGGTTACCAACTTCGTCACGGACTATTATACACATAACAGCCAGATTTCCTCGTAACAACATATTTTTGTGGAATAATCTAAGGTTATAATTCCTCGCTATGCCTCTGCCCAGACTCACTCACCCACTGAAACGCTTCTATATATTCCTGTCTGTATATTAACCTAGGCTTTCATGTTCTGTTTGTAAGCCCCAGAACCAGATTATATAGTAATTTTACAGCAGCCAAATGGGCCAGTAAGAATCTCTCAGTGATCTAGTGTGCCCTTCCCTGCTATATAATATAGTGCTGTGTCATTTCCAAAAGCCCTTGACTGAACCAGTACTGAAGGGGGAGATACTATTTTCAGCAGGGACGGTGCTGTACAATAATAGCATCCGTAAGTTGAAGCCTAGGAAAAATATATAGAAAATATAGGTCGCATTAGTTCTCTGGTGAGACTGCTTATACTAAAATGCAAAACTATTATTGCCTCTTGTGTATATATGTGTGTGTTTAAATGAGAGAGCTTGCGAGTTTGAGTGGGTCTATTCGAATATTTTAAGTATGGTTCTTTTATCATGAGTAGATCGGCTAAAGTGAGTAGTTTAGATAATTACCTTAGATGGGCTGAAGTAATAAACACAATCTGGATTATTGTAGTAAGTTGGCACAGAACTAACTCTAAATTACCTGACAAGACAGCTGATCTGATGGTTTGATCAGTTAGAAGGAAAGCCTTGTGACACTTCCATGAAAGGCATACGCTGAAAGAAGGAAAGCCTTGTGACACGACCATGCAAGGCATAAGCTGAAAGAAGGAAAGCCTTGTGACACTTCCATGCAAGGCATAAGCTGAAAGAGGAGAAAGATGTAGAGCACTAGATGTATATTCAAAAAGATGTGATTGCCAGCTGCTTTAATTTTAATAAAAGATCATGACAGTTATCGTGGTGTCAGGGCAAGACTGTCAGCATTCTGTGACCATGTTATAGAAGTGACCGCTTGATATACATTTCAGCGGCTGGATAGGTCAATGGGAAAATGAGAGTGCCAACTGGCAGTGTCATCGTTGTCTCAGGCTGGATATATTGATGAAATCAAATTTTTTTTTTAATTAAACAGGTTTCTGTGGTAAAAATTTATGGATTGTATTTTCTTTTTTAAATTGAATATATTAAATTTGAGAGAGAAAAGTAGTTATTATTGATTTTGTTGTGAGCGATTTTGATGGCTGGAGGAAGTCTGCCAATTTATATTGACAGCATTCAGGATTTTGCCAGGTGTACACAGAAAGTGGAGAATTGTCAAAAAACCTGCACAAGAGAATGAAATTATCCAAAATCGCCATTCCTTGTGAAAGAATTGACAGACTGCAGTCTGGGTAAAGGCCATCAGCATGCACTTACTTTTAATGCATGAGGCTGTCGTCAGAAATGCATGTTTCTGATGGTAGGAATGATCGTCTTTAACCGTTGGAGAACACTTCTTGATCATGGGCAGAATGTACAAGTAACACAGATGAATTAATTATTAGCATTAGAACTGTTGCTTGTTTTATCTATTGATGGAAACATTTGTTTGTTGTTTATGTTTGGTATTTGATTCAATAAATGAATGCCAGATGAGGCAGTTTGTTCTTGTGTCTGTCTGTCTGTGTGAGTGTGTGCTGAAAGAAACTTGCACCAGGAAGCATATTGAGTCATGCACATTAAAGGAAAGGAGCCTTTGGTGCATCAAATATTTAGTCAAGACCAGTGGATTTCAACCTTCCTAATGCCGCGACCCTTTAATAGAGTTCCGTCACGTTGTGGTGATCCTCAGATAATTAATTTATTTCCTTTATAACTTCAATGAATATGCGTTTTCTGACGGTCTTAGGCGACCATTTTGAAAGGACCGTTCGACGAAAAAAAGGGTAGTGACCCGTAGGTTGAGAACCGCTAATCTGGACCTATGTTTGTAAAAACCAGCTGGCACTCTGAAGATGATTTGGTCAAAGGTCAGTTTGTTTTCCAGAGCATTCCACTTGTGTCCATTTTAACCTGGCAGTCAGGGTCAGTTTTGCTTTAAAAAAAAATCCACATTGATGCAGATTCTTCACCAGCTGCAAACTCTGGCGGAAAGTTCTGGTTGTTCGTCCACTTCTGGACTGCAGTCCTGTTCCAGAAAAGTGCATTCGACAGATCTGACTCATTTGTATGCAAATTGCGGGTTCCTTGACTCTCAGGCAGATGCACTTTGACTTCAAAGGAAGCTCCCAATTAGTCGACTCTCACAACATGCTTTTGCGAAAGCAGTGGGTCTATTCTTGTTTTCCCTATAATAGGGCCCCAGAACCCACGCGGTGAGATGATGCAGATTCCGAACATCGACCTTCGTCAGTGGGTATCTGCAGTGGCTTCAAAGAATCCTTTTCAATATCTTCGGCATATTGGGCGTATACCGCAGTGCTTATATTTTATGGATCAATCGGTACTCGAGGGGGATAATATTGTCAACATTTCGCCGCCCGCCTTTACTTTCTAAGTTTAGCTGCTAACTAGTTTAGGCTGGGTCACTTTTGAAAAATAAATTTGACCTGATGCAGATTTGAACCCACGGCCTTAGATTTAGAGCCTGCATGCGAGCACCTAGCCACCACACCAAGCCGTTTTTCCCTTTTAGGTCGTGTTGCTGACATACTATTTATTTATTTTATACCAAATAGTACTTGTCCTGAAGCCTTACAATTTTTTTTAAAACGAGTCTTACGTCGAATTTTTAGACCCAGTAAAGATGCAAACAGCGGGCAATGGAGAGTGAGAAGCAACAACGAAATTAATATGGTAAAATCACTATTGATTACTGGTATCATGAGAGATGCGGCGTCCGTGGCTAAGGCGTTGCGAGTCCGACTCGTAAGCCAGTATACCGCGATCGAAACCCACTGCAGGCTGCGTGGATTTTTGTCGTGGTAAGGGGACGTCGCAGGTCGACCCAGCCTAAAATGGGTACCAGGATGGGCTGTCCTGGGAAAGTAAAGACAGCCGGCGTAATGCTGACCACATTACCCACAGAGTGCTGATGGTCTGTAAAAATATGGGACGCTCTGCCCATATGCCCGATGCGCCGAAAGGCGTGAAAAGGGAACTTTAACATCATGAGAAATAATTAGACTGAAATGGCTGGAGAGAATGACAGAGAAGAAAATAACTACACAAGGGAGACGTTGAGCTGAAGACAATGAGGCGGACTTGTTAGAGAGATAATATCCAGACAGATCAACAAAATAGCTAGTCATCAGTTGAAAAGAAGATCAACCAGAGAGATGTACGCAGGCGTGTGTTATCTGCAGTAATAATTATCAAGGGCTCGGAATGCTGAAAAAAAAAAAGGTGAAGACTTGGTGGGAAATGTCTTGCCGGGCAATTTTACTTCTCTACAATTCTTGGTACCCAATTTAGGCTGGTTTCACGAGAATTGAACACCTGACCTCTGGATCAGCAGCCATGCTAACCACTGCACTACTTGAGCTGCTACACACACGCGGAAAGAATGCAGTCTGAAACCATGGGCAGCAACAAGATCACAGATGAAGAACTAAGGCGGGAAACAAAAATGTTCGTCACTGGCAAGTATTATTAAAGGAACGAACGAGCAACTTTTTTCAGTGGGTTACAAATTGGGAATGCATGCCCTACTTGCAATACCCAATCGAATCAATCATCTTCACGTAGTAATCGTATTTTATCTGATTGGGCACGCATACAATTATCTAATCCAATCAATCATCTTCACACAGTAATTGTATTTTATCTGTAAAGCATTTTATGATGATGCATCAGCAACAACAAAAAAAAAATTGACATGTTTGCACAATGCTTCAGGGCACTTTTGTAAAGAGCTCTCCTTGCGACGGCAGAAGGGAAGTGAGACGCGGACGACCTAAGGAAATCTGAAGGAGGACACTAGAGAACGAAATGGTGGAATGTAAACTGACATGGTATGCAACGTCTTTGGCGTAGGCTTTGCGAACGAGCATCGTAATTATAGGGTACCTGATTCGGTTCCAGCTGCAGGCGAAGTGACAGCATACTGCTTTGCTTTGATATCGAGAACCGACAGGCACACTGAATGGAAAAATCGCTTAGTAAAACGAGAGTCAAAAAATTGCTGGGGTTGGTTTTGCAACGTCCTGTAAAGGATACACAACAAACTTTGTGTTATATCGTGGGCTTAAAAACAACAATGGAGATCAGTTATAAACACCTTATGTATCAAACATGACCTACTTTAGAATTCTATTATTATTACTTTTTTGTTGTTGTTGAGGAACTAACAGATTTTAAAAAGAGCAGATTATTTAAGATTAAAAACTATATAAGCCATACTAATTAATTAGTATTAAATTGTTTCTAGTTGGATGGCTTGCCTTGATTTTACTGGTTCCACTTATGTAGTGTAGCTCTATCTACTCAGATCGTTTTATTATCTCTTTTTGGACTTAGTCACCCTATTTCTAAGACATCAATTGCCTTACTGAAAGTTATTAATGTTCCTATTATTAGCCCGGGGTGGTGACGTCAAGTCAAGCCGACGTCATCAGCTCCAAGGCCCATATTGAAGCCGGTCGTGTATCAACAGTGATATCAAAAGAGTGCAGATACATAGACTGGTCAATTGGCAAAAAGGCCTTAAATGATCTGGCAACACATTCAGCATCTAATATTAACTCAACAAAAACAAGTTCAACAACATTTATTTAGAACTGTAATTTCTTCTTAAATACATTTTAGTAACACGAGATATTCTAAATGACC